TTTTACAATGTTGTGTCAAATTCCAGTGTTCAGCACAATTTTTCAGTCATTCATGGACATATACACACTCATTGTCACATTTTTTTCTCTGTGATTTATCATAACATTTTGTGTATATTTCCCTGTGCTATACAGTATAATCTTGTTTCTCTACTCTACAATTTTGAAATCCCAGTCTATTCCTTCCCACCCTCCACCCCCCTTTGCCCTCTCTTTCCTGCTTCCTCCACCGCACACATTTCAATACCATGATTTGGGAGGGAGGCAAGTATTAAGTATAGAAATCTGAATCATGGAAGGGATTTTGTCTTTCATAAAGAAATGCAACTTTATTATTTTCAAGTACATACGTAGTACCTCAAACTAATGTCTTACAAAAGGTCACTGAGTAAAAGTCTTGCAGGTGTTTCTCTAACAAATACATAAGAACTGATGGTAATTAGCCCATGCATTCACTATTTCTAAATGGATATTCCTGAAGTGCCTGAAAAGCATCATTTTAGGAGACTAAATATGCCACCCCTAGCAATATTGCTGATGCTCTTAATTTACTAAACAAATGCCATTTTTATTGATTGTGCAAAGATAAACTTTTGTCCGGGTCAACGAATACCAAATTAACCAGGCCCAAATTAACATGGTTTCCCAGTTAGTTTTCCAAGCCCAAGGCAATGACTCATTATTTCAAGATACTTCTGATAAAGTAAAATTCCAGTGTAATGAAGTAACAGCCTTTGGGAAGTTGTTTATGGGCCTGATGTTTGTCTTTTATGCTTCCTTCCTTTCTGCCTTAGGTCTCCCATGTTCCTTGGGTGTCTCTTTCACTTGCTTGGTTCATCCAGGTGTCTCTCTACGGGACATTCCCAATGCCTTCTAAGCCAGGCTTAGAGAATGGACAGAGCTGCCTACAGAGCCAAGCGCAGGTGGGGAGGGGGCTACGGAGGGAAAGGTAGCTTCTTCGAAGAACCTGAAGTCAACTCCCTGTCTTGGGGAAAATCGGCACAATGATCATAAGTGTGAAAGGCATTTTCCTGGGACGAACAGCCCAGCCATCTGACAGGTCTAAGGCAGGTCTCCTAACGTGTTCCCTCTTGTTGTCTAGAGGTTCTAAACACGTCCATGACCTAAGCTGATTCTGCATGACCCTGGAAGACAGGCAGTTTCTGGGAACATCTCCACCCCAATTCCAGCTGATGGCCAGGGACTTCCTTTTCCAGGGCTGGCTTGGCAGTGCCTGGGAGTGACGCAGGTTCGTCCGGATGGGCATGAAGCCGGGGGAGGGGCAGGGAGTGAGCTGGCAGTTCTTCCTCTTGGAACAATATGGAACTTGAGGACTCAGTATTCTAAAGGGCGGGGTGTTACCAAGAGCGTGTGATGTAGAGAGCTAGGGCATCTGTGACACCTGGGCCTCAGGGACCAAGAGACAACAAACCAAGGGTCAGTGGGGGATGCCGTGGGCACATGGCTGTGGAATCTCAGTGAAGCTCCCTGGGTTGCCTCCTGGTCCTGCCTCTGCTGCTCCTCTGATGGCATTTGAATTTGGTCTGCTGGCAGGGTGCTCTAAAAGGGCAGGACACAGAGCTCGAGTCCAGACATCTATGTCAGATGTCCTGTCATTGACAGTCTCTCTCCTTTTCTGTCTCCCTCCTCTGCCGTACCCTACCCTCCCACCTGTCCACCCCACTCTCCTCTAGCGGCTCCTAACCAGCCTTGATTGGGAGACAGGCCGGCTTCTCCAGTGAGCTTCCCTTTCTGGCCTCAGGCCCCAGCACTCACCGGGAGGAACCATTTCCAGGTCTGAGGGGGAAGCAGAGGGAAGAGTTGGGCAGGAAGCAAACAAGGGGTGAAAGGGGGAAATAGGGTGAGGCTGGAGAGGGAACAGGACATCGGTAATCTGAGGCAGTCTCCTTCTTCCTGGTTTAGACGGATTCCTGTCTTTGATCTGTTCTAGTGGGAAATGGGGGTGAAGGGACAGGGCCCGGGGAGGGCTGGGGTAACCCTCAATTCCTCAGATAAGATAGATGGAATGGAGTGGAGTGGGGCTGGGGAGGGGACCCTGACATGAAGCATCTAAGCTGATGGCTCATAGTCAGGCTTCTGGGGCAATTACCCCAGGCTGAGTTACCCTCTCCTCCCAACTCAGCCTGCTGAGCCGCCTCGTTCTGTCTCCCTAAATCTCCCCTCCAGATACCACCCCTGTGTTTCCCACCCCTCCCCAGCGCCATCCCTGCAACACCTCCAGGGCGCCCCGTCTTCCCCGTGCCTGGTTCTTCTTCCAGTGGGTTCAGTAGTATGTCTCCTTCTCCACCCAGCCTGTTAAAGAGATGAGGGGTGGGAGTTGCAGTGTGAGCTTAAAAGGAACAAGAGGTAAATCTCCCAGGGCCTCGGTGGAAGGGGCTGAGGAAAGCAGCCGTGGAAGGTGACAGGCGCAGGGAGAGGAACTTCAGTGGGCAGTAATCAAGACCACAGAGGAGCAGAAAGGAGAGACTGGCATTTAGCCCAGGGAAGGGTGGGGCACAGAGTGGGTTGGGGGTGAAGATACAGACACCTGCAGGGGCTGTTCAGGTAACACATGAATTCCTAAAGGGGCAGCCGTCCACTGTTGCTGGGCAGAAATAGGATCCGGGGTTCACAGTCCCTGTGATTTTTCAGGAGAAGTCAGAAATTTGGATTTGATGTGAAAGCCCTTAAGTTTTAGATGTTAGGCCAATTGAAAAAAAAGAAAAAACAAAAAAAAACCCCAAAAAACAAAAACAAAAAAACCACCCGCACAACACAGGGAAGCCAAACCAAACACTATCCATGAACCGTATTTGGCTTGCAGGCTATCCGCTGTTGACCTCCAGTAAGTGATCAAAACGCTTGTTGGGAAAAACAAAAATACTTGATTGGTGACTGGGAGTCGGAGGCCTGGGTTCTAGTGCCAGTCCTGCTGCTCCTGGCGTTAGGACCCTGAACAGATAAAGCCACCTCTGCCCCTCTCTTTATCTGTAAAATGTGGAGGTGGGACTAGGGGGCCTCAAGGGCCCTTCTCATTCTGATGTTCTGTGATTCCGGGTGGAAGGCGGACGGCCTCAGGGACCAACTGTGTGTGAGGTGACCCCAGGATCTGAGAGGAAGAGGCGGGGAGGAAGTTCAGCAGAGTCAGGGCTCCCAGGACAGGGACCCGGGATCTGAGGGCGCTGAGGAAAAGGGAGCAGGATCCGCAGCAGGAAAGGCGTCTGGGCCTGGAGCGCCAGAGGGGCAGCCCTCGGCGCGCGGCGCTGCGCTGTGCTGGGGGCCGGGGCGAGGCGCGGAGGTGCCTACCTCCGGGGTATCGCCGCAGGATCAGCTTGCGGACCTCATCGTAGATGAAGATGAGGAGACTGTAGGGGAAGGCACAGAACCACCAAGTGACCCTGGAAGAAGCAGGAGAGTGTCAGGAGCATCAGAGGTTGCCTCGAAGGGACCAGAACGGGGATCCTCGAAGGGGAGCGACTAAAGAGACACTCACTTGAGCGGGTACATGCGGAGGGCCACGCCCATGCCTGGGCAGTAAGACAGAAAGGCGGCCAGCGCTGTCTCCTCCAGGAGCCCAAAAATCAGAATCTTGTTCCTGAAGAGGCAAAGAAAGGAGGGTCGGAGCGTTTGAAGGGAGGGCAAGGAGGGGCAGGGGTCCAGGGTGCCCTGGTGCTGGAAGGGAACGAGTCGGGGCGGAACCCCGGAAGGGCTACTATAAATGATGTCTTCCGGTGCCTTCTCCAAACACCCTCTTCTTATGCCAGATGTAACCGAAGAAAGGTGGTCTAATTTTTCTGCTTCCTGATTTTACCTCTGATTGTGGCCTATAACACATACATGCGTCCATTAAATAAATATTTCCTGTGTGTTGGGTGATACCGTCTGTGCAGAAGATGCTGTGGTCAACGCAGGCTTCCTTCTGGAGACCTGGGGCCTGCCCTCACTCAGCTTAGCATCTAGTTATTGCCCCAGGCTCGTGGTCTGTGAAACGGTTGTCTCCCCAACAAGACACTGGAAGCTCCTTCATCTGGGCCCATGTATGTCTTATCCCTTATCGGTGTCTCCTACACCCCTGCTAGGTGTTGGTCAGAGATATTCAGTAAAGAAGGGGATGTTTGTAGTGCACTCAGAAAGGGAAATCTCACTGGGTAAGAAATGCTGAAGATATCACTATGTTGTTGCTATATCAGAACTGAAGAGCAGGACAGAATAAGGCTTTGAGGACAGTGTCTGGAGTCAGACAGGCGGGGTCTAGTTCCAGCTCAGCCACTTATCAGTTTTTGGTTGTAAATAATGTTTCTTTTTTTTAAATTTTGTAATTAATTTTTAAAAATTTGTGTCTTATTTTTGGGGAGGGAGGTAATTTGGTTAATTAATTAATTTATTTATTTTTATATTTATTTATTTAAATGGAGGTACTGGGGATTGAACCCAGGACCTCGTGCATGCTGAGCACATACTCTACCACTGAGCTATACCTACCCCCCTTGTAGGCTATGTTTCATAACTTCTCTGAGCTTCATGCTCCTCTGGGGAAGACAGTACCTTTATATCCTAGGGTTGCGGGAAGATTATGAGCGAGAAAGTGCGGAAAGCTCTCAAACTTGGGAAGTGCTCAGTTGTACTTTATAACCTTATGCACGGCACCTCTTCATGACTTAAGTCAGTGGTTCCCAAACTTTTCACTCACTAAGGACCCCTCTCTTTTTGTTTCTATAAAGGCCACATTGTAAGTGATTTTTGTCTCTCTAGAGGCATTTGTTAATAAGTAGTGAATATATTTCCCCATTTAAAATTAATTAGAAATATTGTGGCTTCTATACAGAATCGTGCATTAGCTTGGGATAATTATACTTCACACTTAGGCTTCTGCCTGGGAGCCTTCTTAGAGGAAGCGCTTGATTCCCACAAAGCTATTTGAATAATGCAAATAGCATCCCTGAGAACCCCTGTGGGTCCAGAGACCCCAGGGAGGGCGTAACGCTGCCTGGGGACAGGTTGCTTGTTGGTATTAGCGCTCCTTCCCTGTCCCCTGTTTGGTTTCTTTTCCATTTGTCTGTCAGATGTAGCCCCCACCCTGCTGTGTCACCCACGTCCTGCATGGTAAGCCAGCCCCGCTCTGCACCGACGTCTTGGACCCTCCGCTCCAAGTTCTCTTCTCACTGCCTTTTCCCCAGTGGTGTTTTCAGCTTGTCAGAATCTCCTTCCTTCGTGTTACCTCGACTTATCTGACAGAGGTTTCCCTTCCCTCTTCCTAGGATCTTAAATGTGATTAACTTCACCAGAGTTTAGGCATCTTTTTTTCCCCTGGAACTAAGAAATTATGGCCAAACTCACGTGGGGAATTGTGCCTGTTGTTTCCTGCAGAAGCACATCAAGAGGACAAGAGTGACACCCTCAGCACTCACCGCCGTCCAGGCTGGAGTCACAGAGCGATCCCCGAGCACCTCGCAGGTGCCAGGCTGTGTGACAGGCCAGCCACCCCGTGTAGGAGCCGCGAGCTTGGGCAAGACAGAGCTGGGTGAGCCATTCCCAGCTGGCTGACCCCCGGCATGCCATTTAACCTTTTGGGGGTCTCATCCATAAAATGAAAATAATACCTACCCCACAGAGCTATTATGAGGTTAGATGATGTCTGGGAACCACTCAGCACAGTGACTGGCACCTGTAACTCACGCTATAAGAAGGCACTGAACTTGACCTGAGCAGCTCACAGCTCCCACAAGGATAACACCACGGGGCAAGTGCTATAAACTGGAGCTGCTTGCCAAGTGGAGGGAGCACAGGAGACCCTGTATTTAGGGCTGGGCCAAGGGCGGAGGTGGGTACAGGAGCAAAATTAAAACTCATCAGAAATGGTCACAGCCCTCCTTCCTCCTCTCTCATCTACTTCCCACAAGGCTATGACCACACAGCTGGGCAACTACAATCCGAGTCCCCAGCAGACACGGCCCCGGGGGCCTGGGGGGCCTGCGTAGGCGGGCGAGCATGCTGGGCGGGTGCTCACTTCATGCCCTGCTGGAAGACGGAGTTGCGGCGGGTCTTGCAGATGATGAGGTCCGCCCACTGCACGACCACGATGCTGGCGAAGAAGGCCGTGTGGCACGTGAACTCCACCACCTTCCGCTGCTCATAGGTCTGGGGGAGGGTGAGCAGAGAGAGGCGAGAGTGTGAGAGGAAGGGGGAGGACCGGGGTGCAGTGTGGTCCAGGCAGATGCTAAACCCTGGGCACCCAATTCACCCTCAGCCCCCAATCCCATTGGCCCTGACTGACCACTCCTGCCAGTTGTTCAGCCTCACCCTCTCCCACCCGAACCTCCGTGCTTATGCGGCCCTACTCACCCACTCCTGTCCGTAGCTGTCCTCCAGGTCGTTCATGGACCGGTCGTCCCAGTCGAGGCGGATTCCCAGCAGCCGTGAAGGCAGGAAACCGTTCTCTGCCAGGATCACGAAGTAGGTGAAGAAGCCACCCAGCGCCTGGATCATCCCTGTGGGTGGTGGGCAAAGGGCAGAGGATAGGGCCTGGGTCAGAGATGGCAGCAGGGTGGGGCCAGCCTCTATGGGCCAGAGAGGGACATCCCTGACCCTCAGGGAGTTGGCCCCCGTTCTGGAATTTCGCAGGGGAGTCATCCCTCCAAAAGCCAGGAGAAGACTCCTCTCGGGGTTCCCTCCTGAGCCCCGGGCGCGGCCGCACCGATCTGGCCGTAGGCCATGCTGATAAGCCTCTCGTTCACCAGCTTGTCCGTCTGTGGGTTTCTTGGCTGCCGCTTCATGATGTCGCTCTCAGCTGCCTCGTAGGCCAGGGAGATGGCAGGGACCTGTGCCGGGGGTGGAGGGGGAGAGGAGGGTGTTTTCAGGGAGATGACGGGGCAGAGGATAATCAGTGGCGAAGGATCTTTGACACGATCCAAATATTGATTAAGACTCAAGACCCAGGGAGGGTATATCTCAGTGGTAGAGTGCGTGCTTAGCATGCACGAGGTCCTGGGCTCTCAATCCCCAGTCTCGCCATAAAATAAATAAATAAACCTAGTTACCTCTTCAGCCCCAAACAAAACAATAAATACATAAACAAACACAAAAAAGACTCAAGACCCTATGGTCTTCCAGGCCTAGTGCTCGTCTTCTCTGCAACCATCACAGTGCACCTCTCCTTCCATGTGCTGCCCCTCCCTCCCCGCCACGCCCCCACCATTGCCCTGCCTGTCCCCTCCTCCCACCCCTGGCCTCACCATGTCAGTGCCCAGGTCAATGCAGAGGATGGTCACGGTGCCCAGAGGCAGAGGGATGTTGGCGATGATGAAGAGCAGGAAGGGGGTGATCTCGGGGATGTTGCTGGTCAGGGTGTAGGCGATGGATTTCTTCAGGTTGTCAAAGATCAGGCGGCCTGTGAGGAGGTTCCGAGGGCATCAGGGAGATTAGAGGGACCCTCCCCACCCCTAGCCCCTGAAACATGGCAGCCCGTCTTCACGACAGAGGGAGATTTTGTGTTTGAGGAGGGAAGCTAAAGCAGGCGGTGGATGCCTGAAATCCTGAGTTGATTCTGCAAATGGGGTGAAAGGCATGGGCAGCAGGTGTCCAGCTTCAGACATCCCAGATGCCATCCCAGCCTGGGCAGCCTCCTCACCCTCCTCCACGCCCGTGACGATGGAGGCAAAGTTGTCATCCAGTAGGATCATGTCGGCTGCCTGCTTGGACACGTCAGAGCCAGCGATGCCCATGGCAATGCCGATGTCCGCCTTCTTCAGCGCAGGGGAGTCGTTCACCCCGTCACCCGTCACCGCCACGATGGCTCCCTGGGGAGGAGGTACCACCAGAGCTGGGAGTGCAGCCCCTGCACATGCCTGGCCCCTGGCCTGGCCCTGCCACCCCCTCCCCGGCACTCACCTGCCTCTGACAGCCCTCCACGATGATGAGCTTCTGCTGGGGAGACGTCCGGGCAAAGACAATCTCTGTGTGGTTCTTGAGGATCTCATCCAGCTGCTCGGACGTCATGTCCTTCAGGTCGGAGCCGTGCACCACGCATGCCTTGGCTTCTCTGGAGGGCGGGGGCAGAGCCGGCTGATTCCCTGGCGCCTGAGCGCACCCCACTGCCTCTCCTCAACACCAGCAGGGCTCTGGTCTGCCCACTAAGTCGGGCTCCTCCACAGCTTCAACCCTCCTCTCCCTTGACGCTCAGTGACCTGTCTTCCCCATTTCCCTCCTTGAGGGAGTGATGCTCAGTCCTCCCCAAGCAGCAGCACGGTCGTCAGTCCAGTTTGCTAGGCCAGGTGCTACTTCCTTTATACATATCTCGCTCCTATAGCAACCGGCCAGCATAGATACTGTCCTAATTTTGTAGTTGAGAAAATGGAGGTTCAGGAAGGAAAAGTGGCGTCTCTGAGGTTACATAGCTTATCAGTGGCACAGCCTGGTCACACCCGCAGGACTGGAGAACCACACGTTAGGCCTGTCGAATGTCCTGGAGGTGGGACCAGAGACCCACAGGGGATGCTCCAGCATCCTGTGGGAGAGGCTGGGTTGACGGGGGTAGGGGACCTGCAGAGCCTCACCTGGGGTTGACCTGGCTGACAGGAATGTTGAGCCGGGCTGCGATGTCCTCCACTGTCTCGTTGCCCTCTGATATGATGCCCACACCTTTGGCAATGGCCTTGGCTGTGATAGGGTGGTCCCCGGTCACCATGATCACCTGGCGGGAAGGAGAAGAGAGAAAAGGAAAGCAGAATGAGGGGTTTTTTTTGTTTGTTTGTTTTCTCCTCTTGTTCCTTGTTTCCCAAAGTGGGGAGTATCTAGACCACTAGATGGTGGGATGGTCGATTCCAGTCAAAGTAATGGAATTGTGTGTGTGTGTGTGTTTGGGAGGACAAGTGAGAGGAGAGACAATGACATGTTGTGTTCAGGAGATCAGAGATAGTTTGCTTAAACTGAAGAAAGCCTCTTTGACAGAGTAACAAGTTAATGAGGGTCCCTTGGAAGAGAAGCTTCCAGGATTGTTTAGGAGTTTGGATTTCATGGGATATGAGCTTGTCAGAGCTGGAAAGACCCTTAACAGCTCCTTCATTTCACTGATGAGGAAACAAAAGCTTAGGAAACAAAGGACCTGATTTGCTCCAGGTCCCAGGGAGCCGGAATGGATGTGGTTTTCTTCCTGCCCAGCGTGAGGGCTGCCGGCATTCTAACTAGACAGGGTAGGGATGGGAGGCAGGCGTCTTCTCCCTCCCTCCCCCTGCCTTCCACCACTTGTTCCTCTGCCCCTGCCATCCCTTCACCACGTGGGAGGAAGGTGATTCCTGCCTGAACCGTGATGATGTTCATTGCCCTTTTTGCAGGATGGATGGGGTTGGATGGGAAGAGTGGTTGGCATCTGAGAGGCTGGTTAAGCGTCTATTATTATAAGCATAAGGAGATCAGATCTGGCTTAGGGTAGCATTTGTGTGTGTAGGGGGGGTGTGGGCTGGATCCCACAAACACTGAGAAGGAAGACCTTCAGGCCCCACTGTGTCTATTCCACCCCAAAGGCCACATGGCCTCCCAACTGAAAGACAAAAGCATCTTTGCAGTCCGCATCCCACTTGACCCCCTGAGGGGGTCACTGTTCTCTGCCCCCTCCCTGAAGCCCTGTCCTCCCCTAGTGCCTATGGATTCCGTCCTTCTTGGGTCCCTCCATCCCTCTTGTGCTCTTTCCCACCCTCCTCAGGGTGGCAGCTATCTAGAGTGAGGAAATGGCTCTGGAGTCACCTGCGGACATAAGTTGAAACACGGACCATCCCCAGGTGCCTTCCCTGAGTCTCAGCGCAGTGGAGACCGCGAGTCGTGCCTTCAGGGTCGTCAGGAGAAGTAAACAGGGTGAGGTGGACACGCGCTAAATGTTACTTAGTTACTCAGCTCTCACTTTCCACCCTCCCCCAGCTTCACTGCTTCCTCTTTCTCCACTTGCCCCTAATGTGGGTATGGCCGGAGTGTCATTCTCCTCCCCTTACTTCACCCCTGCTCTTTTCCTGAGCAATGGAATCAAACATACTAGCGTGCCTTCAATTGCATGTGCAAGGGAGACTGAACTCTCCCGTCCTGGCCCTCTTTCTTGAGCTCTCAACCGTATTCAGGCTTTCCCTGGAAGTCTCTCCCTGACGCTTCCAACTTCAGGTCAAATCAAACTCTTTATCTCTGCTCCCTCCACCGCACCGAGCCTGCTCCTCCACTCCCTACCTTGGAAACCATCCCTCTGTTCTTTCAGTCCTTTGTCTCCTGTATCTTCCTTGCCTCCCACATCCAGTTCGGTCACCAAGTTCTCAAAACATCTCTCAAACGTCACGACTCCTCTCCACTTCCTTTGTTGCTGCCCTGGTTTGGGTCATCATCTTGCCTGAGCTACTGCGATAGCCCCTTACTCCTTGCCCCTGACTCCATTCTTCTCCAAATCCAGTCCCCCTTCCATCCAGGTAGCCTCCTGAGGGGCAGCTCTGCCCCGTGACACCTGTGGCTCTCTGTGGCTCACAGATAAAGCCCAAGTCTGGCATTCAAGCAAAGTCCTTCCAACTGGCCCTGGTCCAGCGTTCCGGTCTCATTGCCTGGTGCTTCTCTGCCACTTCCCACTGCTGCCCCCACGCACCCCGCGCAGTCTAACCACGGAGGGTACGTGCTGTTCCCTGCTCTTGACGTGTTTTCCTCTCCCTCCCTGCTTTACAGAACCCTCTTCACCCTTCAAGGCCCAGATCAAATATCACGCTCTCCATAAAACATTGTTCAGGGCTCTGCGGTGGACTTAACTGCTCCCTGCTGCTCTGAGCTCCCGGGGATGTGCTTTCCCCAGGCCCCGGTCATAGTCCCGAGCAGGGCAACAGGCTGCCTGGTGAAAGGGCGAGCGCGGGCTTTCCAGACAAGCCGACCAGGCTTTCTAGAGCCGGTCTCCCTCTCGCTAGCAGTTTTATTTTGGGAAAGCTACTCTGAGTCTCAGCTTGTTTTATTTTTAAATGGGGAAAATGATGCCTACCTTAGAGACAGAGGGTTTGTGGTTTTCAGAAATCACATATATATACGTATATATGTACAAGCCCTCTAGTGTGATGGTTAAGATAGCAGGTGCCTGGCTCTGCCGCTGACAAGCTCTGTGGCCTTGGGGACACTACTTTGCCCCTCAGTTTCCCTCTCTGTGAAAAAGGGAAAATGCTAGTGCTTACTCATGGGGTTGTTGTGAAGATCAAATGAGATCTGTAGGATTGATGCTTAGAAGAGTGCTTGATTCGTATAAAAGCCTCACTAAACAATTGGCTCTTTTTATTATTAGAGCATATGACCCATGGCAGGTGTTCAGTGACCTTGGCTGTTAAAATTGTTCTGTGATTAATTTCAAGGCATTTGCTTCCCCCGAGGGACCATGAGCTCCGGAAGCCAGGCGCTGTGTCTTATTCATCTTTGTATCCCCAGTGCCTGGCGCAGCCCCTGGCACTCAGGAGACAGGCTGAGTTGAACTGATTTGGTAACAAGTGAGATGTTGGAAAAGGAGGAAGAAGCTATGGCACCAGAATTGGTAACTAGACAGGCTGAGAGTGGTAAAGAGCTATATCTTTGGAACAGATGGAAGGGATTTTTGTCTGTTTGTTGAACTCCAGCACCTTGAACAGGGCTGGGTGAACCATAAATATTTGTTGAATGAAGGGCAAATGCAGCACGCAGGAGGGAGTGGTCGTTGAGAAGCAGTTGCAGTTGGATAAGAGGACCTGGCGGCGGGGGGTTGCTTGGTGGGATGAGGACCAGAGCTAGTCTCCGGGGTTACGGGAGGATGTGAATGGGTGCAGGCAAGAGCCTACTAATCTCATCCCAAATGGCTAGAGAGAGAGGGCAGGAGGTGGGAGGGGTAGGACAACCAGCTCTCCGAATAGGGATGCCTGACCAGCTTGAAATCAGAATGGAATGAGTTGTGCCAGGGAGAGAGAGCATGGGTGTGGGACTGGCCACTCTGAGCAAAAGGGATGAGAGTCCAAGGCAGGGGCCGGCCTCTCCTTGCGGGAGGATAGCTTCCCCTCTCGGTCGGTGGGAAGGAGGCCACAGTGGCCTGAGTCTCCCCAGGGCAGTGGCCTCCGTGGCCCCTTGACCTTTGGTGTTTGGGAGGAGAGGATGGAGGGGACGACGTGAAGCCGGTACCTTAATGCCTGCGCTCCGGCACTTGCCCACAGCGTCTGGCACGGCAGCCCGTGGAGGGTCAATCATGGACATGAGCCCCACGAAGCAGAGCTTCTCCGTGGGGAAGTTCAGCTCATCTGTGTCAAATTTGAAGCCCCGAGGAAACTTCCCAGAGGGCAGATTGAGTTGACAGAAGCCTGAAGGGGGCGGAAGGGAGGAGTGAGAGCAGCAAAGTGGCTGCCTGGATGCCCCCAAGAGCCCCTGATTCCAGGGACCCCTTTCTCAGCCCTGCTCCCTGCTCCTGGCCCCTCACCCAGCACACGCTCCCCAAGTCCTCCCAGCTCCAGGTAGGCATTCTGGAAGGCATCCTGCATCTCCTTGTCCAGAGGGATCTCCTTGCCCTGCACCAAGATGGAGGAGCACCGGTCCAGGATGCGCTCGGGGGCCCCCTTCATCACCAGCACGTAGCTCTGGGGATTGTCTTCTCGCTCATGGATGGACAGCTGGAGAGAGCACAGGCTGTTACAGAGGGGCCATACTTGTCTTTGTAGCTCCAGTGCCCAGCACAGGGGCCTGGGACAAAGCAGTGGCTGGTATGAAAAACTCCCTTAATAAAATAACCCCTGATCCATCAACTTCTGTCAACATAGTGAGCTCCTCGGGGTATGGATGGGTATTTGGACTTCATAGTCCTAGTCCTAGAACCCGAGAGTCACCTTCCCCTAGGACACTGATTCACTCAACAAATATTTACTCAGATCAGTTAAAACAAGCACTTTGCTAAGGGCTAGGTGGCTCTGTCGTCAGCATACCCGTCACCATATGGCCTCAGGGTGCTTTGCCCCTGTGGCTTTTACAGGACGTAGCTGAGACTGCATTCTTGGCCTTTAACAGATGCCCACAGGCTGGGGGATACTCTAAGGAAATTTCCGAAGCATGCGTGGTTAAACTGAGTAGGATGGAAGAGTTGGGGAACTGGGGCCAGAGGATGTGGAGCCCTGGGAAGAAGACTTGAAAGGGTGGCAGGCTGTAGTAAAGGAACAAAAGTTTGGGAGCTGGAGGGTGGAGGTCATTGTGACCAGACATCTGGTCACCCACCTTGCCCCAGGGGATGAGGCCGGGGTGAGAGGATGTGATGCTCAGAGGCTCCCACTCCTCCTCTTGATTCCCCCTCGGCTTTGTGTGCCCCTCACTTCTGTCCCTCCCTCTTCCCCTGAGCCAGCACCCCAACGAGACCTGGTACTTGTTGGTTGAGTTGAAAGGGATCTCAGCCACCTTGGGGTTTCTATCCCTCATCTTTCTCACGGAGCCACAGGACAGCTCAATGCACTTGAGAAGAGCTGACTCGGAGGCATCACCAGCTGTGTCCCGCTGCCACCAGAGGAAAATTCAGTGTCACAGTGAAGGACCAAGGTGGGAGGGCACCAATGCCCCCGAGGCAACCACAGGGTGTGAGAGGGGAAGCTGGGTGTCAGCAAAGTGGGCAGGCTGTGTTGACCCCCTGGCCCCCTACCTTAGACACAGAGATATTCTCCTGCCCGGCCTTGAAGACAGCACGGTTGCAGAGACCAGCAATCCGGGACAGGGCCGTCCACGTGGGGGATCGTTTGTCAAAAGTGGCCCCTGGAAGGGAAGGAGGGAGAACCAGGCACTTGGCTCCCCTTTAGAGCCCTCATCTCCCCCACCCGCCCCACCAGTGCCCCGAGCATTGTGCTATCCCCTTCACCCCTCTGGATAGAGTGCCCAGTTACCAGACTGATCTTCGGTGGTGTCAGCCTCGTGGATCTGGTTGTCAAACCACATGTGGGCAACAGTCATGCGGTTCTGAGTGAGGGTGCCCGTCTTGTCAGAGCAGATGGTGGAGGTGGAGCCCAGCGTCTCTACCGCCTCCAGGTTCTTCACCAGGCAGTTCTTTCGAGCCATGCGCTTGGCTGTCAGGGTCAGACACACCTGGTCAAGAGAGAGGGCAATAAAAAGGACTCAGCCTGGACCTGGAGATGTCCATGACCTTACCCCAGACCACGGCTCAGTCCCTCCTCCTGGATCTTACTCCACGAACACTGAGTGGGACCTCTGTGTAAGTCATGAATGTGTTCCATTTCAGATGTGTTGAACTGAGTTCACGGGTGTATATTTAGGTGAAATGTCCAGTAGGGAATTGAAGACATTTGGCCAGAGCTCGAGAGAGGGCCAGAGTAGAGCCGGGTGTAGGTACGTGCGAGTCATCCACCCGGAACAGGCACCAGAAATGGGGAGGAGATGAGCTCACTCTGGGGCGTCAGGAGCAGAGTGCTGAGGATGGGGCGGAGGCGGGACACTGCAGGGACAGGCGAGAGGAGAGCCAGGGTAGTGACATGTCACAGTCATCGGCAAAGGAGAGAATGCGAGGAGGGTGGACAGCTGTATCCATTTCAGCAGCAGAGTTAAGAATGGGAACTGAGAAAAGGTCACTGAATTTGCTAGTTAGCCGCTGGTGACCTTTGAGGGAGCCTTTATGGAAGGGCTGGCCAGGATGAACCTCAGACTGCAGGAGGGGAAGGTGACTAGTACAAGGGTCGTGAAACAAGGCGACCAGGACAAGCTCCAGGAGAAAACCTGAGTGCTAGCGCATTGCCCAACCTAAGGTTTTGCATACTCAAACTGAGCCATGTATTAAGTCGGAATCTGACATGTGATTTTAGGGGCTGGAAGTGAAAAAACTGCAGAGAAGCCATAAGCCGCTATTGCTTTTGAGGCTGGGTAGCAAGACCCTCCCCTGGTGGTCCCTCAGTCTGCCCCACTCACAGTGACCGTGGCCAGCAGACCCTCAGGCACATTGGCCACGATGATGCCTATGAGGAAGATGACCGCCTCCAGCCAGCTGTAGCCCAGGATGAGGGACAGCACGAAGAAGGAGACCCCCAGGAACACGGCCACCCCCGTGATCAGCTGGATGAAGTGTTCGATCTCCATGGCTATGGGCGTCCGCCCAACCTCCAGGCCCGAGGCCAGAGTGGCTATGCGGCCCATCACCGTCCGGTCACCCGTGGCGATCACGATGCCCCTGGCCGTGCCTGCAACACAGGAGGGGACACCAGGTCGGGTGTCTTGGGGCTCCCAGGAACGGAAGTCCTATGTTACCTCCTGGGAAAGGAAAACCATCACAGCGTAAATGCGCCAAAGGCTCCGGTCCCGGAGGGCCACTGTCAGTAGATTGTAACTCACTTGGCTTCCTGTCCCTGCATAGATGGCCAATCCCAGACTCAACACAACTGCCAGTTATTTTCTCTTATACTTGGGCCTGGGGGAAAAGCTTGCAAATAAACTCAAAGTTCAAATTGAAGAGACTTAGTAGATGAAATAAAAATATTGCCTCTAGTATTTCAGGAAAATCAATCTCACACTTGTTATCAGCCAAAAATACATTGTGAACACAAAGTAAAGCACTTATGGGTTTTCCCTGTTGTCTCAAGATTTTCTTTCTCAACATTAGACCTGAATCTCTATAGAAGGAGCTATGCAATCACTGGCCCTTATGTAGACATTGCAGGGGTGCCCAGGGGAGGGAGTGTGATACAGTAGAAAGAGCATGCGTTTGGAGCCAGCCAGACCTGGGTTTTAATTCCTACCTAGGGGCTGTTTTAATAATTAAATGAGATAGTGCTGTAACACACCAAGACCACTGCCTGGCACGTAGTGGGCACTCAACAAACCTGAGTTCCATTCATTTCCTCTCCTCCCTTCAAAGCCAACCTCTAGAGGATTAAGCAATGGGCATTATTTACTAGGCATTTTTACCAATCGTGGGAACTATAGAGCCAATTTCAGAATCTCAGTACATTAAAAATTTAGAAAACTGTCTGTGGTGCTTTTCACTGTAATTCCAACTTGCTGAAGGCGGGGGAAAGCCCAGAGAAACATAATACACTGAAAAGAAGGGAGAAACAGGAAGGGAAAGGTGTAGGCGGGTGCGGGGAGGAGGGGTACCAAGCTCCCTCGGCCCACTGTGCGAGGCCCGTGGTCTCGTCGGGCTTTCCCTCCCACTGGCTCTTGCCCCCACCTCCTTCTCCTGGTCCGGCCTGACTCTGCTCACTGCCAGTGACCACAGAGGACAGGGGTTTCAGTTGTGCTTGGACTCCTGCCATCGATGGTGGCAGCTCCAGGAGTCATCTCTAGAACCCAGGGCAGAGACGGGGCAGACTGGGCAGCCTGGTCCTGATGGACAGTTTCTTTCGGTGAAGCTCAGGCCTGGGTGCCGCCCGAGGGAAGGGCCTAGTGAACACCTGGCCTGAAAGCGTTCCTGCCTCTCCCCCAGCCGGGGCCCTGGGCAAAGCAAGGGTCAGAGAACGAAGCAGTTAGTCCCAGAACCAGGAGAGACGGAAGCTGTCAGTCAAACTGGAGACTTCTAAGAGTCACAGCTGGTTTAGGGCATCAGTATGTGTGTGCACGCACATGTAGGGGTCTTGGCCCCAAATCTGAAGGCTTGTGAAGCCGCTCTGTCCTGGGGTGGACAGAACAGAGGTCTTCCTTAGGGAGGGAACTTTTGCATGGTGTCATGCTGCCCCAGCCAGTTCCCTGCTCTCTGAAGGGCACTATTTCTGCAGTCTTCAGGGCTCCCTGACCCTTCAGTTCCCTCCCCCAAACAAGGCTTTTGACAAGGAGGTACAACCATGACCCCCAGTGCTGTCTGGGGGCTCAGGATTCAGGGTCCTCCCTCAGCGGTGCTGGGACAGGGGCTCCCCGAGGCTGGCCTCTCACCTTCCACACAGTTGGTAGAGAAGAAACAGATATTGCGGGTCTCCAGGGGGTTCTCATGGGTGAACTCGGGGGAGCGGGTCTGGGGCTCTGACTCGCCTGTGAGGGATGAGTTATCCACCTGAGAAGAAAGGGAGGGTGTCGTCATCGGATGGGCAGACACACTCGTGCACACTCAGCTGTCCCCTGACTCCAAACGCACTCAATCTCCATGACATGAGAGACAAAATTACACTTGCCCTCATCACATATTTATAGCATGAGTCAGCTATTGTCCCTGCTCTGGTTTGGAATCTGGGCTGTCACTGACCTCTTCTGTGACCTTGGCCTCATTACTTAATCAACTCATCTGTAAAATGGGGAGTGCAAGCAGAATCTCTGCATCACACAACTACAGGGGGCACCACTAACACTGTGGTCTATGAAAATGGCACCGTCTAGAGCTGTGCAAGACACCACTTGTGTGGCCACGTGCAGCAGCCCTGCATGATTATACCATTCTTGCAGAGCTAAATTAGATAGCGTGTGTGATTATGTGTAAAGCATCTGACATCAACTCAACACACGATCTGACTCAACACATGATTGCTATCAAGTGGACATCAAAGAAAGACCCGAGGTGCAGAGCATTCGTAGCACAGGTACAGGAGGCAACATACAAGTACCACGTGGGAGCCGAGGCATGCTGGGCAGTGTGGGGGCCAGTGCTGACATTTGGACCTGGGTCCCCCCAGCTTTAAGCCTCTAACTGGCCCCCCTCAGCTCTATGCGGCCTGCTTCTTAGACTCAGCCCATCACTCCAGCATGGCCTCCTCACCTTGCAGCCGTGAGACGAGATGATCCGGAGGTCGGCCGGCACACGGTCTCCGCCCTTCACCTCCACCAGGTCTCCCACCACCACCTCCTCCGCGTTGATCTGCATCTTCTCTCCCTCCCGCACCACGAGGGCTTGCTGTGGGGAGGCCACGGGGATCTTGTGAAGTGCCAGTCTCTACCCCTGCCTTCCTCTTTTGCTGGTCTCTGCCTCTCCTCCAACCCCACCAAGGAGAAGGACAAACCCTGCACTCATAGCAACCAAATAGAACGTGGTGTGGAGAGCTGGAGGGTCCATCTCAGAGCACCAGGAGTTGACAAGAGATGAGCTGGACTCTCCCAGAAGCCTCATGCCCCAGCCCAGAGCCCAGCCCAGCCCAGCCAGCTACCTGAGGCACCATGTTCTTGAAGGAATCCATGATCTTGGAGCTCTTGGCCTCCTGGTAGTAGGAGAAGCAGCCAGTGACGATGACCACAGCTGCCAGCACCACGCCCAGATAGAGCTGGTAAGGAGGAAGGTTTTGACAGACGTGCCCTTTTTCCAACCCTAGGGGGGGCCACTGCCACTCAGGATGAGCACCCAGTGCCACCTCTGCCTACGTCTGAGAGTGAGAATGGTAGAAGAAAGCCCTTCTCCCCAGCTTCCCCCTCAATCTTCTAATCCCCAGCCTCCCAAGACTGGAAGGGGTGGGGAAAATCATAGGGAACCCCTAGGACTAGGACTCCTCTAGTGGGTGAAGCCCAGGGGATGCAGACAAGCCCACTCAGACAAGGCTGTCTCAGTCATGAATGATCCTGTGTGTTGAGGGGAGGGATGTTTGTAGATCTATATAGAACCTCACTGCTTTTCAGCCTAAAGAGCAGAGGGTCTGTGGGACTGCACATGAGGGTGGGGGGCAGGGAGCAAGATCTCACGCCCACCAACTGTCCTGGAGGTGCAGGCTGGGAGGACAGAGTCACGGGCTGGTCCAGGGGTCAGGCTGCTGGCTTACATTGTCATTGGACGGCTCATCCTCCATGGCGGCCTGGATGCCGAAGGCCAGGAAGCAGAGGATGGCCCCGATCCACAGCAGGATGGAGAAACCCCCGAAAAGCTGGCGACAGAACTTGACCCACTCGGGGGTTGTTGGGGGTGGGGTGAGGGCATTGGGCCCATCCCGCGCCAAAATGTCCTGGGCCCGCTGGTTGGTGAGGCCCTGAGGGAGGCAAGGAGAGGTATGGGAGCCCACATTCGGGACCAACCTGGCCCCGAGAACTTCCCACCAGCTCCTGGGCAGGGGAACAACGTCCACATGGATGGAATAAATCCCACCTGGCTGGAAGGGGTGGGGGACCACCAGGAGAGGCCACATGGAGGAGGTAATATTTATAACCAGCGTTGGAGGCCTTGAAGGCCAAGGAGGATTTTGACTGTGGCCTCCCCACCTCTCCTCAACCTCGGGTTGAGACACATTTTGGTTAGGGCCACAGTACTCTCCTCGGGTGGCAGCCTGGAAGAGGCTCCCTGGGAAAACGTCTCAGCTGGTTCTCACCCCCAGCCCATCTCTCTTCCTGCAGAGACCCCCTTCTCCAAGGTGTCACACAGCTTCAGTGACCACCCATCACTTTCCCCAGAAAGCTCCACTTGGCCCTGTCCCCCCAGCCCCAGGCTGGTTCTGATGCCCCCTCCCTGGGGCCCACTGTACCCCAGGCATGACTCTAGAGGGGCATTCACCACACGGCATTGGAATTCTACGTTTGCCTTCCTTTCTGCTGCTAGAACTGGAGCTCCTTGAAGGCAGGGGCCACCTCTTACTTATCTTTATGTCTGTCCCCTTTCTTATTTAATCCATGTGTATTGAGCACCTGCTACATGCCAGGCTCCATTGTCAGCCTAGGGTCCAGGGGTGGACAAGACTTGTCTTGTGGAGCTTATGCCCTCACGAGGTGATACGTAATGAATAGATATTACTGCCAAGTGGTGAAAAGTGTTATTTAAAAAATAAAGTAAAGTAAAGGAACCGGGGCATAGAACTTTCAGAAGGGCAGTCAGGGATGGCCTGCAGGAGCAGTTGTGCACCTCCTACATTTTTGATGCTTTTTTTTTTGCTTTTCAAAATGATGAGCTTGGTAATCTGACTGTGCCACTAACTACTGATGTGACTGAGGAAGCTACTCTCTCTCTGAGTCTCCCTGCTTTAATAGGTAAGTTTCCACACCTGGCTTGTCGTAAGAATCAGAGGAAAGTGTGGAAAGCTTCTACTCCAGTGCTACACACAGTGGGCGCTGGTGTGCTCCTATAACAGTGATCATGGGTAAGCTCGCTGTTGCATGTAGTCAGTTCCATGAGACGTGCGGTGTCACGGAAGCTGCCTGGGATGGAGCCTTGCCCAGAGGCCCTCTGGGGCCTGGGTTCTAAGGAGTCCTGGCTTCTGGGTACACAGGAAAAGAGCTGTTGACCAAGAAGCAGGGGATCTGGGCCCTATTCTAGCTCTGCCACCAACTAGGCACTTGTCTCTGGCCCTCAGTTTCCTTAACTGTCAAGAGGGTTGGATTAGAGTTTTAAGGCTCCTTCTGGCCCGATGCTGCATGGTTCTCTTGCCTGTTTGGTGCCCTCCCTAGAAGCCCCTTCACTCACCTTGGACAGATCCACTTGATACTTGCGGCCCAGCTCATCCAAGGACAGCTTGTGGTCATCCTGGGGAAGGGAGGTCAAGTTGCTTTAGGGAAGGAGGCGGAGTGTGTGTCTAGAAGGCATACGAGGGCAGTAGCGGTGCAGGAGTGAGGCAAGGAGCATGAGAGGGGAGAGCATGAGTTTCCCTGAGTGCATAGGGCTGTGAGGACGCTCCCCCAGCCTGGGAGCTCTTTCCCATGGTCTGGCTGGGCAGGTTGAGGGCCTCACCATAGCCACCTCCTTCTTCAGCTCATCCAGCTCCTTCTCTTTCTGTTTCTTCTTGCCTCCCCCATTTTCTGCTGTGGTGGCTGCAGGCGAGTATTCACGGCCGGCCTGTAGGAGGCAGAGAGAGCCCAGGGAGTCAGGGAGGATGGAGGCTGGAGCCTCTTTTCCCACTGGATAGCCTGGGAGCCCAGGCAATGGGAATGGGGGCCAGTGGATTCAAAGTCAGTGGTCTTCCCAGGGGAGAAAAGGGGGTGCAGGGGACCCCAGCAGCTCAGTTTACAAACTATTAGCAGAGCTGTGGGGCTCTACATTTGAACTTCAGGAAAGGCCGAGGGGCTCAGGACTCAGGAGCCCACTCATCTGTTTAGTAGTTGGGCTTCTGCTAAGATTTTTCTTCTGCTAAAGCAAAGTAATCAAACACTTTAAAAACCACCATCCTACATTATTTCAAAATCTAGAAGGGACTGGACAGGTTTGGGGGGTCGTTGACAGAGCATAAGTGCCCCTTAGGAATGTCTCTGTCCCAACACCATGGCTGCCTTACTTAGAGAGGAGCAGGGACTCTGGGGAAGTAAGAGCCTTTGGGGAGTCGGGGTCAGGACCGGGAAGGGCCTTGAAAAGGACAGGGAGTCATAGGGTCTGGTGGTGGAGCGTGGAAACGGAACGAACAGGGCTCACAGACTGAGAAGTCAGTAGCTGGAGGGTCAGAGCGTGGCCAGGAAGTGGGCCCTTGGAGCGGCCTGGGAGCGCCACCCATCCTGCCGGGCAGGCCTGCCCGAGACTGGGCAAGAGGCCATTACAAGACTTCAGGCCCCAAAGCACAATTAGGTGAGAAGGGAACGAGGCCTTATTTGTCTAAAAATAGAAGAAATTATCTCTGAGGATAAATCTAAAAGGGAAATTGCATGTAACTCTTAGGTCCAGGCATTCCTGGGTCCTCTGGTGAAATTAGGCAAACATTTTAACTGGAGCCTCATGAGGCCACCATTTTCCCTCTTTAAGGGCCTGTGGTCTCCTCACCACCACCAGGCTTCCAGGGGCTCACGGGGAACTTCTGGGGAGAGGATGGGACATTTCTCCTTCCAAGGGAAGGCTGTCTTGGGCGATAGGATAGGAGGGGCTGGGAGGGCCTGGGGTGACCACAGCAAGTGGCTTCTCAGCCCTTTGCTCCCCAGGCTCCTCTCCTCCCACTTCCCTCAGGATATTGTGTCCTTGTCACAGACGGGGTGCTCGGTTTCTGCTCTGGGCCTTGGTATCCACTGGACCCTAATGGCTATACCAGGTTTTCAGGGAAGAGCTTCTTTATATTATGGTGTAATTTGTTTTTTTCCCATAAAGAAGGGATACCTGGGTGAGCTCTATAGTCAAGGAGATTGTACCTCCCTCTTTTTGGCAGAACAATGCATTTAGGAAAAAAACAGGCTTTCTCTTTTTTAGAGCAGTTTTAGGTTCACAACAAACTGAGCAGAAATTACAAGCTCCCATGTACCTCCTGCCCCCACAGGCACTGCCTCCCCCGCCATCAACATCCTCCATCAGAGTGGTACATTTGTCACAATGGATGAACCTATACCGACACATCATTGTCACCCAAAGTCCACAGTTTACATTAGGGTTCACTCTTGGTGGTGTACATTCTGTGGGTTTGGATGAATATATAACGATCTGAATCCACCATGATATTATCCAGAGCAGTTTCACTGCCCTAGAAATCCCCTGTACTTGGGAATAATGCATGTTTTTCCCATCAGAGAGGAGCAATCCAAGGAATGTGACAGCTGCCCTGATCGTAAGAGATCACGAATCTAGCACCTGGAGAGAGAGAAGTCTGACCAGCGACATCAGGAACTGGGGTGGAGGAGGTGCCGTGAGAGATGGGCACCCTTCCCCTAGACCCTAATGATCTAGGATATGAGCTTTTTGCAGGCTGTGTTGCTCAGAAGTGCTCTTCTCAGCAGAGGTGACCAGTAAACCTGGCATTTGCTTCCACTGTGAAGCATCCATGTATCGGGTATATTTTTGGCTTCCTAAAGGGTGGTTGTCCGGGGAGACTGAAGCAGCCCAACTGAGGGAGTAGGGAGGGGCTGTAAATAGTGCTACGTCTCCCTTCCCCAAGTCACTTCGGAGGGCTCCTTTAATTGAATGGATTGAAACGCCTTGGATTCACAAACCTAATGCTTTGTATTCTGTCCTTGGTGGGACAGAACTGAGAAATGGATGAAAAGCAGCGAAGGGGCAGGGGGCAAGAGACCAGGCTGGACAAGCTTCAGTGCGACCCTCCTGAGCTTCTGCTGCAAGAACAGGGCCTGGACATGCGTGCAGGAGCGGGCTGTGGCTAGGGGCAAAGGAGCAGAGCCTAGAGAATTTCTGTATATTTAGCCATGAAATAAAGTCAATGAAAATTAGAATCTAAGGCATGGTTTTAAAAATTTGCTGGCCCACATATGTACTCTAGCCCATGCAGATGGTGGCAGAGCAAGGCAGCTCTGAACAGCACCCCTTTTCCTGAAGCACCTCTCCTGTCGGCGGGCACAGAGCTAGGGACACACCGCCCCTTCCCCCCTCCTGTCCTGGCAGGGATCTCAGGCTCTGCAGCCAGGAGCCTGCAGAGATTTGGGGCCGGCGGGCTGCCCAGGCAAGAAAGAAAGAGAGGAAGCAAGGACCCCCCCAACCCCTACCGTCCCCCTTCCCTCCCCCACCACAAGCCCCCCTCTCCGGGCCTTGAATACTGTAGGAGAACAGTGAGTTCTTTCTGAGAAAGCCCAGTGCTGGGACAGAGTGGGGGCAGCTGGAAATCAGCCAATGCTCCCCCCACCGCTGCCTCTTGGTGGCAGCTGGAGCGGGCTGGGCTCCCTCCCACCAGAGCCGTCCCTTTCCCCAACTCCCACGCTGCCCTTCACTGCCACAGGGGGGATGGGGTGACAATGAGGCCTGGCACTGGAGGGAAGGTGCAGAGGACAAGGGATGTGGATGGCAGGGTACCTTCCCTCTTCAGGGGTCTCCTGGTGGGTTGAACTCTAAGCTCCAGCCCTAAGTGCCCCTACTACCCACTAGCCTCTCAGTTCAAACAGAGTCAGACCTGCTCCCTGACCTGCTATGGGGAGTGGTCAGGTGGACAGGAAGGGAATTCAGGGAAGCTGGGGGAGAAGCACGGACTCCTGAAGAGTCAAGGTCAAATCCTTTCTCAAGCAGGACCTCTTGAGTTGGGTCCACCCTGTTCTAAGGTGGAGGAGGGGAGAGGTCAGAGGTCCTGCGCTGGGGACTCCCATTCCCAGGAGGGAACACGAGATGTCAAGGTGCAGCCGAAGGTCCCAAGACAATGTATCTTCCCACAGGTGTGACCTCTTCCTCTGTGATGCCCACACCTCAGAGAGAGCTCCCGGCAGACCCTCTCCCGCCCCCACACACGGCGACAGCTATTCTCACTCAGGCCCGGAGGCCTGTATGTTTGCAACTTTATCTGCTGAGACACAAACACAGGTGCTCACCCATGAATATCTGTATCACCTCCAGCCTATGGAGAACGCATGGGTCTCTCTCTCTCTCTCACACACACTCACACACACACACAGACACACACACACCGGTTCTATTTATAGCTCCTACCCTAGCTCAGGAACCCTGGTGTCCAAGCTCAGAGTTTCCCAGCTGCTAAACCCAGGGCTTTACCATGTCCTCGCCTGACCCCACCTGGGCCCAGAAACTCCCCCACAGCTCCCCGAGACACCCTCTTTCCTCAGCTCCCTCCCATGGCTCCCCATGCCCTTCCCTCCCTGCTCTCTCTGGCCAGCATTCCACAAAAGGCAAGAAGCCAGGCGCAGGATGTAAAGGGATTGGGTCACTTTTCTCCATATGGAAATTTCATTTCCAAGAAGTCAAAGCCCTGTCCCTGCCCCCCTCTTCCCTTGTGGTTGTTAATCTTCCCCTTGGCATAGCCAGAGCTCAGAATGCCACAGGCCGGGCTGGATGGACGGGGTGCCGGCAGCTCTCACCAGCCTCTGGGAAAGTCCTCAAAGCGCAAGGCCTGGAGCCCAAGGACAATGCTGTCTGTCCAGGACATCCGGGGGTGCTGGATGGGGTGGGGGGCCGGGGGGTGGGGACGGGTTGGGGGAGCACATTGCTCTTCCTCCGCACACTCCTCCCAGCTGTCCCTGCAACTGGGGCCCCTGTAGTGGGTGTCCAGAGCTGCTTGGTGACTCAGGAACAGATGCCCCCTGCCCCTCTCTCCATCCTCAGGCCAGACTCCCATCCTCTCAGGCTGGGACTCCCGGACGAATGGATACTTTCAGGGGGTGGTGACGACGGGGAGGATTAACGGTACCAAATACCCTTCAGCTGGGATGCCAGGAGATGCGGTGAGAGAGCAGGGACCATGGGGATGTGGTGGGGAGGAGTGGAGACAGAGATGAGGGAGGGGGTGGAGGGCAAACTGGAGGGGGTGCGAGTGGTGGGCTGTGGGGCTAGTCCTGAGTGGGGGGAGGTGGTGAACAGGACAGTGCTTGGGGAGTGAGCACCGTGGGTCTGTGCACACGGTCATAGCTGGGAGACTGTTAGTTTCCAGTTCAAACCAGCCCACTGCTCCTCCCTCCACATCCCGTTCCCACCTCATCCCTTCCCTGTAGCCTCCCGAGTCGAGTCGTCCAGAGAGCCTTACTCCTCCCTCCAGCGCGACCCCTGCTCTTTGAGGATACTCACCCCACGGCCCATCTTGGGGCAGAGTGGCTGAGGGACCTAGACTGGAGAGGTCACCAGGGGGATCCCAAGCCCACACCACCAGTCTGGGGCAGCTAGACCCCGGCAGACAGACAGAGACAGTGAGCAACAGGGTAGCTTTAAATAGGTCCCTCTCCCCCTCTCCCCCGCCTTCCCCTCCTCGGGAAAGAAACGTTTGTTGAAACAGGATCTCTGAGGACTCCTCCCCTCCCGCCCCTTAAGCAACTGGCCCGTGGATGGTCCATTTGTCCCGCTGAGTGCTCCCCCTTGGCTCCCCTCACCCTCCAAGCCCTGGCCCGTGGCAGCCACTACGGAGGGAGGGGACAGGTTGTGTCGAGTGGGGAACATGCAGGGACTGGCGGAGGGGGAGCAGTCCCCTCAGCATCCCAGAGGCCAGAGGCCATGTGGTCTGACCCTTTCTCTCATTTTCCTGCTGGGGAAACTGAGGACCAGAGAGACTGAACAATTTGAGCTGATAAAATAGAATCAGAACCCAGGTCTCCTAAGTCTACATCCAACCTCCCAGAGAAAGAAACAAGAGGCCGTTGCCTCCACTGTAGAGGCTGTGGGGACACTGTGGCCAGAGAAATTAGTGTCGGAGCCCAGGGCCGGCCCTGGTGTATGAGGCTCCTGGAGGAGGGCCCTGATAAGAGCCAGAGGTAGCTCAAGAAATAGCACAAAGTCTGCTTGGAGATGGCGGGCAGAGGGTCTCCCCAAACCCTTCAGATGTAGCCTTTTCAAAGTCTGAAAATCAAGACTCCCGGGGCCTGGGAGGCAGCCGGAGGAGGGGCAGGCCAGGTATAGAGGGGACAGCCCAGCAGGCTTCCATGATGGCACCTCTGGGTTTTGCTCACCCTGGTTACAGGTGGGACATGCCACTCCCTTAGTCGCTGTTGAAGAGCTCCAGGCTGAATCTGTGCCCGCAGTTGGTCGGGGCGTGGGGAGAAGCCCAAAGAGAGGCAAATATGGAGCTTCTAAGAGGTATACGGAGGTCCAAATCCTAACAAGTACCAGACCAGTGAACTAGAAAACAGGGCAAATGCTTCTTTTGCCAGTGGGGAAGGGAAGGCGAGTCTGCAGCAGGCAGAAGCGGGGACAGACAAGAGGCATCTCTGCAGAGAAGCCTGGGAGAAACTGAGGTCATACCTGGGGAGTGGGGACGGGGCCTCACTTGGGGCTGGAAGGGCGGCCTGGGACCTGAAACCAGCCAGAATCAGGGGTAGGTGGAGGAGATGGCCAGGACAGGACAGGCTGGTCCAAGGGTGGCGGTGCTGCGCATTTGCTAAAAGAGCCGAAGAATCAGGGACAAAGGGAGGAAGGCGAAAACCAGAAGGGGCAGAGAGAGAAGAAGAAATCCTGCCCCCGCCTTCTCCTGGGAGCAGTCAGGACAGGGTTCTCCTGGAGTGTCCCCATTTCTCTGGGCACAGAGATGGTGTGGAGGGAAGCCAGTGTTTTGGGGGTAGTTCTGAGCCCTGAGCTAGGAACTTCAAAGGAAGTTAGGAGGAGACAAGGGCAGGCATAGGGCCCTCTGGCCAGAGACCTGAGGTGTCTGCTGGCTGGACTGGTCCTTCTCTGACCTCAGTGGGAACTCCCTACTGAGGGATTATCGACCTCTGCTCCAGCAAGTCTACTCTCAGGGCCCAGGGCTCACGTCTGAATTCCCCAAATAACTGGCCCCCTCCGGCCCTGCGGCTGGGATTTTCCATTACAGGGATCCGGTAGGTCACACCCCACTTCCGCCCTCCTCCTCCTGGGTTACAGCAGGAAGGGTGGATGGAATGGGGCAGATACCTTCTCTGCCCAGGCCCCTCAACTGACCTTGAATTTGGGCCTGGGCAGAAGAGGCAGTGGGAGGAAACAATGAGGAGAAAACAGATCCCAGTTCAAGCCCTGGTGTGTACAGGACAGAGTAAGAAGGAGCTGAAGACGTAGCAAGGAGGCTTGTGGTTAGACTTCGGGGGAACCTGTCTGACGAAGTCACAGGAAAGGTGTTCTTCAGGTGGCCAGGTCACTCAACAAGGGGGCAGCTGAAGGGCAGCCTTGCCCTAGAGTGGGGTGGATGAGAGGGTGACTTGGAGTTTGGGAAGCACCTGCTCCTTGGGTCCTGGGTTATCCTCTGCCCTGCCCTCTGCAGGACGCAAGGTGAGCTGGAAGAGAAAAAGGCCCGGATATGGGGGCGGGGATGGGGGTGGGGGTGGACTTCCGCCCTGGGCTCTCACAGTTTTCACTCCAGCACCCTCACTCCTGCTGGCACCTCCCAGTACTGCCCAGTCCTTCCAAGGCCCTGGCTCTGGTCCCTGTAGCCAGGCCCAATATCGGAAGGAACTGTGCCCTTCCTCTGCCCACACAGCCTGGTGGGGAGGTCCCAGCCTCGCCTTGCATTTAGGCTCGCTTGCAGCCCCAAGGGCGCTCCTGCACACATATCTGGGGTCAGACGGGACACCCAGGGCCCATTCCTCACCCGTCATGCATCACTGACCAGCCTCCCTGCCCGGGAGAGTGTGGAGGCTCTGGGAGTCTACCTCCTCCTCCTCCACCATGGACCTTTGACTCCAGCACATCAGCCAGTGTAGACACCTAGTCCTTTGAGCCTGGGTCAGGCTCCTGCTTCCTTTGAACACAGCCAGAGCTGCCAGCTTGGATCAAGGTCTTTGCAGCAAGAAGAACAAAGCAGAGAGTAAGAAACACTTGAAAGTAGGAGGTGGGAAGGCCAGGGTGACTGGGCTGGGGAGTGGGTTTGCGAGAAAGTCATAGATCAGAAAGGGGATCAACAAAGGGCAGGGTGGGTGGTCCTGAATCAAATGTTTGGTTGAGAGGATCTGGAAGGAGGGTGTGTGTGTGTGTGTGTGTGTATGTGTGTGTGTACATGTGTGCTCGTCAGTGACTGAGGGGGACATGATTGTGTGCGATGCTGTGTGTGCAGAAGAAACCACGTGAAGGAACCACGTCATAATTTCAGAGGAGGATGTGCAGTCAGTCTAGTGAAAATCAGTTCTTTGTGTACCAGCGTGTGAGCACCCTGGCGTGGGCGTGCGTGTGGCCGGCGGGGAGCACGTGTGGAGCCCGGGTGGGCGTACGTGAGAGTCCATGGGAGAATGTGTATGTGCACGGGGAGCGGGTGGGGACGCCGCTCAGCTGCAGATGGGCTGTCAAGGTCTCCAAGAAACAGTTTTGTTTCCTAAGTGACTGGCCTCCTGGGGCCTCCAGCCCAGACTTGAAGGTTGTTTCAAGATCATGAAAGAGGGAGAGGGAGGGAGAGTGGGCGGGAAGGAAGCCCTGGGAGGCTCTATCACTGCCGCCCCTCCCGCCCTCTCCCCACCCCTCACCCCACTTCTCTGCCCCAGTCCCCAGTCCTGCCGGCTCTCCTCCTCCTCCCCCGCTGCCAGCCTGCTCTGGGCAGCCTCTCTTCTCCCCTGTCATTCCATCCGACTCTCTTTTCCATTCTTCTTCAGGGCCTGTGGTCTTGTCACCACTGCCTGGCTTCCGGGGCCTTTTGGGGGAGGCTGTCTGGGGTGATAGGATGGACAAGGAACCTGGGAAGGCCTGGGGTGGCCATGATAAGTGTCCAAGAAAGCTGCCTCTTCCTCCCTCTTCCTCTCCAGCCCTCCCTCCTCCCACTTCCTGCAGTTGTGGGTTGTCTAGGAGCCACAGAGCCGCTGTCCAGGGCCTTCTGCTGCCTCAGTTTCCCCACTGGACCACAATGACTGTGTTGGATTCTCTGTCTCTCCCTGGATGTCTGCATTTCTGTTTCCTTTCTGGTCTCTTCTTTTCCACACACTCAAAATGGCTTCTAAAAACCACTTCCGCTGTTTCTCCTTGCTCCTGTCATCTTGAATTGTTCCCTCAGATTATACTTATTATCTTTTTTATTGTTAAAACCACATAATACAGAATTCAGAAAATGGAGAAGGGAAAGGAGCACCCAGGACTGTCCTCCCTCTCTCTGCCTCTGCCTCTGCCTCACGCCCACCTTCTTTTCCCTCTTTACTGCTCTCTGCGTTTGGGTATCTCAGTGTTGTATCCTGCCTAGGCGCTCAGGTGGAATTCGGAGGGAAGAAAAGGAAAGGACAGGGGCGCGTGTAGACCCTCCTCTCTGACACGATGGCCCAGCGCTGCTCTGCGCCTGTCTTCCTACTGTCCTACCTGCGATCCCCACTGTGGTCTAATGCAAAGGATGCGTGCCTGCGAGTCAGGCCAGCGAGGCTGCTCACGGTAGGACCACTCGTGTGACCTTGGACAAGAGGCCTTCTCATTCTGGCGTTGCTACTTCAACTGAATAATGAGGAACACAGCTAGAAAATCTCTGAGGTCCCTTTGCAGCTCTAAGGATCCCCGAATTCCAGGCTACTTCCTCCTCTGCACATGGCTCAGCTCCGGTGAACGGGAGAAGTGGCTTGCAGTGATATCTGTGTGACAACCGCCAGTTGGAGACCTGGCCTCTGAAGGAGATCCAAGGGGGCAGGTACTCCTATTTGGTTTACTAGTATGACCCCCAGAAGTGGGTCTGGTCCCTTTAACTCTTGGCATAGACGCAAGGAAGGGCTCAGGGTTTGAGCAAAGACTACCCTGGTTTCTTACAGGAGCCCATGTGAGAGGGGGAAGGGTCTGGCTGTCCTCTGGGGAGAAGGGCAGAGCTGCAGGTGAGGTTGGACCCACCTGACATCTCTTGGCTGCCCTTTGATTAGCTAACAACAGATGAGTCTGTGTCCAGAGATTCTTTGGGCTGGGAAAAACATGTAAAGTGTAATGGGGAAGATGGGGTTAAGGGGCCCTGCTGAGTGTGGGGGGCAGGGGTCACAGCTGGGCCCTCTAGGGTTCCTGTTTGCCTTTGATTCCATCTGGGCAGGGAGGGAGCGGCCCCCAGCCCCCTGAGGCAGATTTGCTTTGGCCCAAGATCTGACCCAGCCACCGGCCTGGAGCTCCCCACCCCCCTGTTTCCCCTATCAAGAGGCAGCCTGGCTCCCCCCAGCCTCCTCCTTTCTCCCTCCTTCTTCCCTTACCAGGCCTCTCCACCGGCCCAGGACACAGCTTTGTTGTCTGCCTGTCCCCTTTGGCATTCCGGACACCGGCTAGGACAGGACGCCCTGCAAACATCCGGCACACG